AATTAGTTTGTTCAGAATATTTTAAAGTCATAGCATAGAATATTATACTTTTGAAATTTAATTTGCAGTTTTTTTTTATTTTTTTTTGTTTTATTTTTTTTAAAAAATGCTTGCAGATACTTAATTTGTAGATTTTAATTTTTGTTCTTTTTAAGATTTGCTAATTCAATTGAGTGAATTTTTGCTTTATGTTCTCTTAAATCCAACTCATGTTCCTTTAATGCTAAACATTATTCTTGATATTCAAGATTATTGACTTTTGAAGTTTCTTTAAAGTCATTTTCACTTAAATCTTCAGAATCAATAGTGATTACTTCAGATTTTTTTCAATTTTTTTTTTAGTTTTTGTAGACTTTTTTTATTTGTTTTTAATAAGTTTATGTTGAACTTTTGCTAGTAATTTAATAAATATGAATAAATATATATTATATATTAAATAAGTATATTAATATATAAATAAATTATACTATACTTTTACATTTATTTGACAAAACATTACAACTAATTAAGCCTTTATCTTGTCCATGGCTAGATAAATTATATTGTTGATGAATATTAATTCTAATAAAATTTTTTTTATCTAATTTATGTTCTTTACAAAAATAGTTTTAGTATATACAATTGATTATAATTAATATATACTAATGATGATTTAAAAATTAAATTTACTGTAAAATAGCAGACATCAACTTCAAATTTTTTCTATGCCAATTACTTAATGCATGAGCAGATTCTGCTATATTTGTATTATTAGGTAATATCATCCAAGTTTCTTCATCAATTTTTGACATGCATTTGTTAAGTAATGCAATAACCCATTTTTGCTAATAAAATGAAACCCAATCTATATAATATGTACATATATATATATAATGTATACATATAACAATAATGATTAGACATATATGTATTTAGTTAGTAATATAAAATTATTTATAAAAAAAAAATACTGACCTGTTATTTTTTCAAAATTTAGAATTTCATTAAACAATTAATCAAACTTATTTTCTAATTTAGCTATAAGCAATGCAAGCATATTGTCCGTTAAAGTATCATCATATCTTTTTTCTAAAATTTTTCTTTGTGAATTAAAAAATAAAATTATAATAAATTAATAAATAAAGTAATTAAAAAAAAATAATAAAATAAATTAATAAATAAAATAAATAAAAAAATTAATAAAATTATATACTCGCCTTTTATAATGTACTTGACAGGATTTAAAAATATAAATTAAATGATCCTCCCAATCTTTGGTTTTATCAATTTCATTTAAGGCTAATCTGAGACTTTGTGCTTGTGCATAATCTAAATCAGCTACAATACATCTCCAACCAGTTTCATGAATATGTTTAAATTGAGGAAATTGACCAATTAATTGTAATATAAGGTCAAACAATATATGAAAAATTCTTTGATATGCAATTGTTGTAGTTTGATTAGTAAAAACCCTAACATAAATAAGAACTTAATAAAATTTATAAGTATATATAAATATACAATATATCGATATAGATTAATTCAAAAAATTTTTAGTTTATAGTTGAAGAGTATAAATTAGTAAAAGTTTGCAAAAATTATTATAACTCATTTTGTTATAGTGAATTTATTAGAATAAAAAATCTTATTATAGCTTATATTAAATAAATATTATATATCCTTTACTATATCGAGATAAGATTTAATAAATTTATAAATCTTCATTCTTTATTATACTGAAGATTTATTTTTGTAAACATTAAATTTACTTTAACATTATGTATATAGGTAAATCTGCATGCTGGGTCTTTCGATCTTTATTATTTCAAGATCTTCACTATGCTAATTTGTAATAATAATCCAATTCAAATAAAATTCCTCTGATATGCTTAATTTCTTTAGCCAAATGTTTCATAATTTACTCTATAATATTAAAAACTTAAGATATTTATTTAGTATAAAAATATTTATACATTTTAACTTTATAATTTAACAATTTTTACTATCAAGTTTTTTATTTTTATACTCTTCAACTATGATTTATTTTTTAATTATAAAAAATAATTATTTTACTTAAATTATATTTGTTATCATAATTATTGACTTCAAATTCATTAATCTCGCCAGCTACTCATTTGAAGAATAGATCAATTTGAAAATGTTTGCATTTTAACCATTCAGATAGTTGTTCAAAAGTTGTATAAATTATTAATATATGATTATCTTCAAAAAATTCCAAAAAAAAGATTAACATTGTTGCAATTAATATTTTAATTTTAATACTGTTAACTACCAATATAATAGATATCTTTATATCAAATTTACAAATTTAATAATTCAAATTTTAAGTCTGAATTTTTAATAAAAAGATTAATAAAATTATAATAGATTAATAGAAAAATATTAATCCTATTATATAAATATAATAAAATTTTTTGACTAATTCAAATTTTTATTATATTAATAGTTAACAGTATATTGATATTAATATAGATTATTTAAAGTTACCTAATCACTTTACATAATCACGAATATCATTAAGATTATGTGAATAATTGTAAATGACTCCTAGAATTCTTTGTCCTTGGAAATGAATTTCCTTTTGAATTCTATTCATATAATAACGGAAATGATCAGTATTATTTAAAGAAGCATGTATATTTGCGAGATGTTCAGTTCCAAAGTAAGTTTTGATTAAATTTCCTAAAAATTAATTTTATAAATTAAAATTAATTTTTTAAAACCTTTTTATTAAATGATATTTTACATACCTGTTAAAATTCGAGTTGGAGTAATATCAGTAGTATTATCATCAGCTTGATGAATTAATTCTTGTAAACATGTTCGTATTGCAAGTGGCACTCGATTTGGTGGTGGAGATGGGTGCAAATGAATGCCTTTAGATAGAAGAATAATATATAGGCATTTGTTTAAATCATGTAGTATAAATATATAATATTTAATACTGCAAGTCTTTTGAATTATTGATTCTTGCTTAATTATATTTCTTGTATAATGTGAATATGCTAAATTGTAAAAAAAAAAATATAAATTATATATAAAAAACTTACATAATTTAATACAAAAATATTTGATACTTACGACAATAAGTTTTTTTTGAACTGTTATGTAAAACTGTAAAACATTTATTTATTGGTTCGTTGGATTTGCTCTAATTATAATAAATAATTATATAATTAGCATATAATAATTCAATATAAATATAATTAAAATGATAATATATTTTAATATATTTTTTTACACTATATGATCTATTCAAAAGTTCTTGAAGTAAATCGAGATCAATATTTTCTTTGATAAGAATAAAACGATGAAATTTTTCTTGATCTTGCCAATTAGAACAGCCAATAAAATAAGATGCAGACATATCATCATAATGATATAGATGCTTTAATACTGGTGTTTCAGTACATTGTACACTATTTTTTTTAAATTGACATTTGGTTTTGTGTGCAGCCAAATATATGCTAATAAGCAAAAATTATGTATTAATTATGATTTATCTATGTATATATGTATTTAATTTGCTATTAAAAATATACTAATTTAGAAATAATTTCTAAAAAAGTACAATACATTTATATTTTAGAAATTATTTCTATATTAGATATTTTACTGCTTAAAATAAATAAAGCTTGTTATTAAAAATTTATAAGACTTACATGAAAGTATTATTTGTTACATTATTAGATGATAGTTCATTATTTATCTTCAGCTGTAAATCAGAATCAGGATTTACTGATTCATATTGCATTTCTTAAAGTTCTGAACTTGCAAATTTATATAATTTAACTCCTTGACATGTTCTATCCTTTTTTGTTACAATAATATCACCAAGATAACAACAAGTAGCTTGACTTTGATCAGACAGCTTGCCTATAGAATACTGAATCTAAAAAATAATATGTTAAATATTTTAACTGCATATTTTATATTGTGTTTACAATAATAATAAATATTTACATCTGTAAATGCTGACTCTGCACTTTTCTATTTATCAATATGATAAACAATTGCAATCTCTTCTTTACATGTTAGTGGATATTCAATTGGAGTCAATGAATGAATAATTTCTTTAGCAGTCAAATGTTTGGTCAGAAATATTTCAGAGCTTTCCATTTCAGGTGAAGGTCTAGAATTTTCTTAAGAAGAATTCACAAAAAACCTATCTTCTTCAAATGCATTGTTGGTATCCTTGGAGGAATTATTTTCTTCGAAAAAATTATCCTCTTTATTAATATTAAAGGAATTATCAAAAAAATTTTCATCATCAAAAAAACTATTCATCAATAGAAGAGATTTCTCATCTGAACTAATATCATTTGAAGGTATTCGCATCATTTTATTAATGGATAATACTTTGAAATGAATTTATTTATTTGTCTTTTTTTTTTAAAAAAAAAAAGAAAAAAAAATATTATTACGATCACTGCAGAATGACCACATTGGGCTTTGGACTTTTAAACTATCAGACTAACATTATAAACTCAACCTATTAAAATTCATTAAAATTGAATTCAATATTATAATTTTTAAAGCCTGAAGTCTAGTTTTCTTTAACATCACATTTGCATAAATTTTATATACACTTGCATGAATTTTATATACATTTGCATGAATTTTATGTACATTTGCATAAATTTTATCATGAATTTTATGTACATTTGCATACTATACACGATATATTACTTTATACTCAGGTGTGACCTCACTAACCATACACATGTGTTTGTTAATTTAACCATATTATACTTTACTAATTTGCTAAACCATACTCTACTACTATTTGTATTACTTGTATATTTTATTTTATAAACAAGCTTTTTTTAATAAATCTCAATAACTTTAATTCTAATTTTAAATCTAACTCCAATAACAATAACTAGAATTATTTTATCTATGAAATAAGCTATTAGTAAAATATATTATTTATGAAATGAACTATTTGATAAAATGTGAGTTAGTAAAATGTGGTGTCTTTGAGATAATTGTAAGTTGATCAAGTTAAATATTAGATTGTAACTTTTAAAACACAATTTAATAGACAGGCTAAAAGAGTTGTATTAGATTTTATATTCCTTTGCACATACATTAACCTTTGTAGATGGTGATCAATATCCTATACTAAGTATGATATATCCAACTGTATGACATCTTTTCAAAAACTTGGATCAGATTGAAGATAAGCTTATATATTCAGATATTATTGAAATGAATAAAGGTTTTTATTTATCAATGATATCTTGATAAGATGATTTAGAATGGTCAGATGGCTTGCCACATTCCTTGACCTCTACTTCAAAACTTTATCAGCCACTTTACCTACAATTTAACAAGATGTATTCTAAGAAATGCACAAAAGAATTAAACTTTCTCATCAAACTAATGACTTACTTTCTATCAATCAAGCTTTAACTACAGAAATGTCTTTCTTTTTTAATAATGGAAATGAACTCTTCTTCTTATCTCCAATCAATACTAAACTTTAAGTATATTTATCAATTTCACAGATTTTTAAGTATAATTCAAAAGATTTGCATTATAATAAATATAACTCTCTATATTGGTAAAATGAGCATAAAAATACTATACCTCTTTTCACTAAACAAGTATAAGTTTTTTTGGATATGCCAGCTACCTCTGTACCTTTAGAGCATCTTTTTTCTGATGCTAGTAATACTATAACAGATAAACATAATAGTTTAAATACAGATATGGTTTATGATCTTTTGTTTTTAAAAGAAAATTTGAAAATAATTAATATATATGTTGGATTATAAATTTTGGTTAGAACAGTTCTAAATTTTTATTTATAAGTTAGCAAATTCTTAAATATATATTAAATAAAGTAAATTTATCAAATGCTTTAAATTTGCAAAATGAAATAACATACTAAAGATTGTATTCATTGGGAAAACCTCTACCCAGGTATTATTAAATTGCTCAGTTTATTTAGATAAATTACTATATCACATAATACAATTTCTACTCAAGTACAATCTCTATTTCAAAACTATGTGAGCAAATGAAATTTGATATATTTATTAAAATTAATTATTTAAAAACTATACAACTTATTAAAACCCTAAAGAATTATCTTGAAATTTTAACAAGTAATTATTAAATATTGAAAAATAAAGTTATACTTTCAGATTTTTATTAATATATAAAAGTGAAAAAAATTTAGAATTTAAATGTAAGTTGAAACTTTTGCAAATTATAAAAAAAGTATAATGTCAAGATGCTATAATTTTTTGACCAATCATATCTATTATTTGTCATATGTTTTAATTAACCAATCAGAATAATTAACTTAGATATAGTTGGCTAAGCAATTTTAAATATCAGCTTAGTCAAGTTAATAAATAAGAGTCAATTACAAGTACTAATACCTAACTAGTAACAACAACCTTTGCACAGAGCAATGCAAGAGATATAAAATCTACTAAATATTTTCAATACATGTTTAAATATAAAGATGAAAGATTTTTATAACATACTTATTGATAATACTTTGCATTAAATTTACAAATATAATAAAAGATGTTACAAAATGAAAAGATCTATATAAAGCAAAGTTTAAGCAGTAAACAGTTTACTGTTAAAGAGATATATAAAATAATTAAAGAAAATAATCATCTGACTAATCAAGTTATATAATATGAAGAAAGCCTGTACAGAACTCAACAATTTTTGATTAAACAATTAATCAAATTGTCAGACATAATTAAACAATTAGGATTATAAAGTATGTTATTTTTTACATTTAGTGCAGCTGATTTATATTGGCCAGAACTTTACAAACTTATGTTATATAGTAAGGATTAACTAAAAGTGCCAGAACAAGATTTAACTAAGTGTTGATATCAAAACTTAATTGATAATTCTTATATTGCTGCATAATTCTTTAAAAATCACTTTAAACATTTCTTGCATTATGTGTTAATTTCTAATTATAATTTGAAAAACTAATAATATTGCTTTGAGTAACAACATCATAGCAGTGCTCATATACATGGCATCAAAATATAAAAGATGCATTAAAAATTGATTAGAAAAAAATAAAAGAAAACAATGAAATGATGCCTGAAGTAGTACAATACCTAGATTCTTTGATTACTACAATAAATCCAAAAATGGATACATTTATATCTGATCAGCATCTCTGTCAAAAGTGTAATAATAAATTGAATGATAATCATTATAATGTTTATCAGCACCTTAAAAATAAACAATAAATTAGCTATAAATCTTATATAACTTGGCTCAAGTAATAAAACAGATTTCAGATTGGCAATAAACTTAAATTCAGGATTCTTCTACGAGTGACTGTAGAAAACCATCATTAAAAAAAGTATTCATCTGAAATAATAATAAAATCCTGACTAGTATTTCTAAAGTAGTGTGAAATACTGCAGTTTTATATACCTTTTTCAACTAAAAGCTACTAAAACAGTACACAATGTCAACTTTTGATTAGTAACAGACTCACCGAATTTGAGCATCTTGATATATTATATCAGGAACATAGAATTTACATTATTTAGTATGATTTGATATGAGTTGGGTTTGTTTAGAGTTATTAGTTATATAAAAATTAATATGTAATAATTAGTAATTATATGATTTTGTGTAAAATCACACTAAAACAAATTACATCATTTCAGTGTCCTTGTCTAATACTATTATAATAAATGATAATTTGACATTAGTATAACAACTAGCTCTCAGGCCTAGGTGATGCTTCGGGGCTAGGTCTTAAGTGTTTTTTATTTCAAATTTAATAGATTATTAAATTTTAGATTTTGTAATTATTTAATTTATAAATTATTAATAGTTTAAAAACAATATAATTAATTTATAATTTTTTAGCTTTTAGGCTTGAATGATGCTTCAGAGCTAAGTTTCAAGTGTTTTAAATCTTAAATTTAATTAGTAATAAAGTTAAATTATAATTTTTTAGCTTTTAGGTTTAGATAATACTTTGTTGCTAGGTTCTAAGTGTTTTTGGTCTCAGTTTTAAATAATATTTTAAATAGATTTTTAAAATTTAGTATAATTTAGAAAATTTAGTAAAATTTAATAAAATTTAGTAAAATTTAGTAAAATTTTCTAAAAAATTTAGTAATTTTTTAAAAATTAATAAATATAAAATATTATTAATTGTTTTTAATATAAATTTATATAAAAAATCAAATTACTTAGTGCATAAAGATAAAATTAATTAATAAAATTTTAAGAATTTTAAAATTTTTAATAAATTTATTAATAAAAATATAGAAAATCTTATGATACTTAATATTTTACTAAATAAATCTATTCTTGTATACTATATAATCTAATTTATATATTAATTTATATTTGTAGTATATTAAATATTATATTTTTGCCTCATCATTAATATTTAAAAAAAAAAAAAATATTATATTTTTTAAAGAGTATAGTGACTTAGTGAAATGGTCAAGTTGTTGCACCCAAGTGACAAGATCTAAGGTTCAATTCTCACTAGCAATGAATATTGAAAATTAAAAATCTTGTATACCTTAATTGATATGTTAACTTAATTAGGAATATTGGCTTATTAGCTGTAATTTGTGATATAAAACCAAGTAAAATTGGTAACAAATTTGCAGTAATTCATGTTATGGTATCCATATCTGAAAGCAAATAATTGCAGAGAATTTGTTCTGATTAGGAATATGAAAGAATACAAGCTGATATATATAGATATACTTCTGAACATTGTAAAATAGTTAGTATAAATATAAAATAAATCCATATTAGGTTATAATAGATTTGTGTTAGGAAATTTACAAGAACACTAATTAGGAAGACTACTTGAAAAGTCCTGAGTATAGTGTCCATATCTGAAAGCTCATAACTGCAAAGAGTTTTCAATTAGAAATATAGAGAAATACAAGCTGATATACATAGATGTACCCCTAAACATTGTAAAATAGTCAGTGTAAATACAAGATAAAACCATATAAAGGTTAGTATAAACATGCAGAATAGGAACTGCATAGTTTACCTAGCATTATCACTACACAAACAATAAAAAAAAATATACACAAACCAGTCATCTTCTATAAACACATAAATGCAATTACCATCTTACTAAAAGATACAACTAATTGTAGTTAGTAAGAAGAATGACATATGGAGGCAGGCAGTCAAGTCTCTATATATAGAAGGCCAGAATTATAACAGTCCAACTCATTGTACAGGGCAGACTATAGTATCTTGCACACCTATGAGAGCTGAGCATATGATAATCAACTTTGTAGAAGACAAACTTAGAAGATTATTATTACACTTTTGACAGAGATGCTGATCAGATA